TATTGCAGTGATGGAGATCTCAGTAGAATGGATCACCTCGTGTTTTGCCCTTCGCTCATCCAGATCTTGCTGAGAGTGATGCTGAGAAGCCAAACGCTCCATTATAACGTCCCTCTCTCTCATGTTTTCTCCTTATGTGCCCTTATCTGATAGAGCCACGCGAGACTTGTCATTGGATCAACCTCGTAAGAGAGGTTAATGTTGTACATGAGTCAGTTCACTCTCGAGGGCCTTCTTGACCTTCTTATCGTGAGTAACACGCTGAGCAGCCCTTACCGCTGCCTTGAGCTCACGTTCGAGGTGAGCAACCCTACCAGGCAAGCATGGCGAATTACCATGTCCTTTTACGCGACGAAACAGGAGCCACAAGCCTTCGTCGAGATGCAAGAATCCTCCAACATAGACCTAACCTCTGCTGTTATCGTTGTAGTGTGGCCATCAACATCATCGTTGCTGCGGGCTTCCGATAAATCTTCTTCTAATTTATCATTCCGTCGGAGAGCGGCTTTAAGTTGTCGGCGAAGGTCGCCCAGAAGCTCAGCATTCTCATCTGACGGATCCTTCAACTGCTCAACTGAAAGCCTTTCAACACTGCTGTTTACTCAGAGATGGTTTGTGAGCAGCCGCCACCTCAGCAGATGGTTCGCGTGACCTTCCGCCTTCCGAGATCTTAGTTTCCAACGAGGCCAGTCTCTTGAGGATCGCCCCAGCCAAACCATGAAGCGTCCTCTTCCGACGGGCGCCTTCCAGCTGGCTCACCAATAGGTTTCAAATTTATCGGTTGACTATACTCGTACAGCAAATCGTTGCTGGTCCACATCGTATGAGTTGGGTCCTTCCCAGTCTCAGTGATATTGATGAGTGAGTCAATGCCCGACAGAGCCGAGGGATCATCAATGTCCGCAACGCACAATGTTATGACGATAATCTAATACTAGATGTTCTCATAAGATGAGGAGCTTTCTGACGTTTACCCTGCCCTTCCTGATGTCGGTTTCGCCTCGAAACTTTCGAGTTCTCGTATGCGTTGAGGATGGACGTTAAAGAAGTCCGACAGCGCCGACGGAATGTTATCTCGTGCACCGGTGATATCGAGACTCTCGATTCGAGAGGTTAATGTGGTGCTGTCGCTATCTGCATGAATGAATAGTTGCCGATACTGTGATAAACGGCGAACGACCTACGCAAGCTTTCACTAGCCAGTAGTCTCGCGAGAACGAACTGGTCAGGCCGAAGTTCTGGAGGCCTCTTTGAAATTCTGGGCCTTCTGGCTCATAATGCCCATGGAAGTGGGTTGTCGTTTTATTCGGCGGCCATGGTGGCGGCGGTATCTGTTACGAATTCTTGACCTACACTCCAAGTACGGAATTCAATATGATGATCGTGGGGCCCACAAAGAGCGAGGCGAGCTCAGCCCAAAGCCTGGCGCGCCATCGATTGGCACATTGGATCGCTCTCTGGATAGTATACAGTGGACACAGGAACTGTTATCACGCCCGATGCGAACTCGGGCATCGATGGGGTATATCAAAGTTCCAATACTTTCCCTACCATCAGGTTGGTAAGTGGGCAATATATGGCAATTTGCATTGACCTCATACTCAGTCGCTTCAACCTAAACATGTCTTTCTCTTTTCCCCTCGGTGCCACGGAAGGTCTATGTTCTCAGATGTGTACGTATATCAGAAGTTGTATCAGAAGACCCACTAGGCCCCGGTATAATACTAGGTCTTCGGTGCGAAGGGGCGGAGCTCGCTGAGCTTCTAATCAAGAATTCAGCGGGCTGAGCCCGCCGGGCTCTTATTGAAATTATTTTGTAAATTGTGTGCGACTGACGACAGCCTCCTGTCAGCGCAAAGTTAGTGACGAACAGTTTTTCGCTACGCCATTAGCTTGATCGATAGACGATTCGATGGCGTCACGTTTTGTTCATCTCTTATCTCTTTTCGCTAACCCATCTCTCCTTATGTCGAGTTCTCCCAGTGAGCAGGCTAACTTACATGGTGGACGTGCCGAGGTAGGTGGGATGCCTACCTTGGTGAGCCCGGCACTTGCGGGAGCCGTTCGCTTGGCCGCGAGGAAGACTTTGCCTTCTCTAGACTGGGATACTCTGGCTACGTTACCTCCCGCCCAATGTGCTTCGAGGATCTTGGGTATTACTTCTAACTGTGCTGGGTACAGTGCTTTGTTCTTCTCAAACCGAGCTGGGTCCCCAGTAGGGCATAGCTTAACCGCTTTGTGTGTTGACTGGGAGATTTTACCTCATCGTGACGCTATCCGTCAGGACAGTGATTCCTTGGGAGCAGCCGTCAGGGCTAGCGGGAAGAATCTGTCCGACATTGCGAAGCGTTGGACGTTTGAGGGGGTAGATCAGAAACTGACTGCTGCTCTGGCTCAGTCATGTGGGTGTACGGCTCCTCTGAAACTGTGGGCTTATGTGAACCTTTGGCCAAGGGATTTGGCGGAGAAGATCAAGAGCGAGCTCCTCAAGGAAGTTTTCACTGAGGAAGGCACAATATATCGTTCTTGCGAGCTTCTAGCATGGACTCATCTCACTCAGTCGGGAAAAGGGTTCTCTGCCGAGGAGAGGGAGGCTATAGAAACCCATTATCCTCGCTGGATGGCAGCCTGTTCCCGGGTGTTAGATAAGGTCGTACAAGCCAAACAAGAGTTTCAATCCCTGACCGATCC